TTTCAACGTAATCGGCCGACTTCCCTCGAGGTTCAGCGAATAAATAGAATAAATCTGCTCGAAGGAGCGGAGCAGACGGTGAAACGAGACCGTTCAAAGCACCGTTCTAGATGGAAGATTGCGCAACTGCGAACTAAAAAGGGAGAGAGAGAGAGAGAGAGAGAGAAATAAGGGAAAGAAGCAAAAAAAATATATATATATCGGGCCAAGATCGTGGAGTTGTCCATCCGCCATCGATGATATTTACCCTTGGTCGAGCGATTCACCTGAAAATTCCGCGTTATGACTGGCGTTCGACTCTCAAGCGGAGACGAAGGCACTTTGATTGTCCCTCGTGCGAGATCGATAAAAACGACGGCGTCGGACGTACGAAAAAATTGAGAACTCCCCGAAGCTGGAACGTCGTTGAAAACCAGCCGATAAGTTAATTCCACGTATATATCGTGGATATATCGCGACCGAGTCGACGTGCCGTGAAATGACGTTTCGAAATTGAAAACCAAGCTCTGGGCTCCAGCTACCGAAAGTTCGATCGTTGTTTCTCGTGGTTTGTCTCTCTTCGTGACTCTCTCCTTTATCTGTCGTGAGAGAAATTCGTTCGTAAGGGAAAAGGAAAAGTGGTCGATGAACGAAACATCCTTGAGAGATGTTACGTGCGTTAGATTCATTTTTTTTCTTTTTTTCAAACGTATCCTTCCGTCGGTCGTCGATGTCTGACGAACGAGACTAACACAAGTACACAACTGGAACACGACGCAGCAATAAAATCGTTCTCGCAATTAACTAGTCGTATTTGGTAATGAAACCAAGCCACGAAAGAATCTCTTTCACTGGTACAATTGCCGGAGCAATTCTTCAATTCATGCTCGTGATCGTTCACCGAGGGAGCAGCTTTAAGCAGAGAGTACATTTTTCATTCACACGCAATTTCCTTCCTTCTGATTGGCGATCGGATCTCCTTTTTACTCACGTGTTTGCAGGGTGATTGTAAAATTGTAAGCTTTGCCTCGTCGTTTTGTCAGAAGCGCGCCGGTTTGTCACGGTTAAAGCTCGGCCACCGGGTTATCCGAAAATGGATTAACGCGAGGGCACAAACGCGCGCCTCCCCGAGGTCCCCCAACTGGGCCTTCAACCGATTTCTTGCGCCCTGTCAATCTCTTCTTCGCAGTGCCTTTGCCAATTATTTCCAACTGTTGATGGGTAGGTTCATCGTGAACCCATAGAGGAAAATTCATTCATCGTGACAGTGACGAATATTTATGTAGGATGTTTTGAATATTTGGACAGGGATTCTTGTCTTCTTATTTGGAACAGTCTTCCACGGTTCATACGTGCGTGTCATTGTACATCATCCTCCTCGTTATTTATTTTGCTTTCTCTAGCTGGAAATTTGAAAGAACTATTTGCATCGGCGAGACAAACAACGCGCGATGAAGCTTTTGTGCATAGTCGTACAGAAAAAAAAAAAAAAAAAAAAGGAAGAAGAAATTGGAAAATTCCGAAGAAATGAACCTTGGAAGGAGAATATCTTTATCAATTATTGACCTTTCGATGCCGTTCAAAATATTTCCTCGCATCGCCGAAAGAAGAAACACCGCGAAAGCATACCATCGCAATTCTGCATTCATTTAGTCGCAACGAGGGAAATAAATAAATTTTTTATTTTATATTTTATGAAACGCTAGTTCGAGCGTAGCCCGATGGATTGATGGGCAAAGGATCTACGAGCTGGTTGGCTCGTAAATAGGGTCAAGATAGTATTTCATTCCCGGTCTCCCCCCTCCCCTTCCTTTTCATCCCTTCCCCTGTAGCTACTATCGTTTTTAGCCGCGTTTCCGATAACTATCTCAACCCCTTGAACTCCGATAGGGATA